GGCCTTCCTTTTTCATTGCTTAGTTTTCACATGGATATGAAGTGATTTAAAAGGACATAGCTTGGATCAGGCACATCTTGGTCACCAAAGTGATATTTTTGCTTTTTAAGAGTTCATCAAGTTCTTTTTTTCTGAATCCAGAAAATAAAAGAAAGCAGCAGCCAATGGATCCAGTTAGTGCATGCCAATAATTGACCCAATCAGCAAAGCCCGTTGAGATTGCACCAAAAATCCTACCACTACAGAAAGTGTGGGTATTTCAGCGGAACCTGGAAGTTCCAAGACCTGTATAATTGAGGGTCCCAGAAAGGGATCTGTTTATTCTCATTGTGTAAGTTAGACCCACTCTTGTTTTCTAAGAGTGTCTCTCTTGCTTGATAAACTTTGCTCTGTATTTCACAAACCTTCTGTATTGTTTTTCTTTCTCCGTTTTCACAATATTCATTTGGAGAAGTAACCTTGCTAGATCACACTCTTATGAAGCAAATCTGGGAACCTCTCAGTAGTCTAACAATAAAGAATACTTTTTTTAACATCCCTACCACACAACCTAGAGAGAGAGATCAGCTGGTCCAGTGGACAGAAGGCAATGCTACCAAGCCGAAGGTGGGTGACTTTTAATCTGCGGCCCTCAGGCCTGTCTTTCATTGTTTTTGTTCAGACATTCCTCTAGGTCGTATAGCTCTGGTGTACAAGTTACCGTACAGCGGTAACTTGGGGTTGCTGTGAGGCTGAACACTGTGACACGGATGTGTCAAATGTGTTAATGGTTGGTTACCCAATGCGGACAGAGAGTGGGATGGAGCTCCCCAATGAAAACAAGCTTGGAAGGAGGAGTGACATCCACTTGTGTAATAGCTTGCCTCCAGAAACCCTATGAACCTGGAGAGAGGATGAGAGACACCCAAGCGTTGAGGACTCTCCTTCATAGGGTCGCTATGAGTCGCCTGTAACTCAACGGCACTTAACACAACCAAGATTGTACCCATGGCATCTCTCAGAATTGAGGCTTGAATTTGTTTTTTCAGTTCTTTCAGCTTGATCAGCAAGATCTGTCCTTTTTATTCTTTTACGCTAGCTGTTTGTACATTTCATTATAATATTTTGCTTTATATTCTTGAGTTGCTCTTAGAAATCTTCTGTTCAGCTCTTATTTGGACATTTCTTCACTTTGTTTTGGCTTCTTGACACTCTAATGCCCTTTTAGTAGTCTCTTCTGACATTTATTTTGGTTGACTCTTTCTCCTCCTTCTCTATAGTGACCTTTGCTCTCTTCATGATATCTTTGATGTCCTCCCACAGTTCTTCTGGTCTTTGATTATTGGAGTCCAATGCTTCAAATCTGTTCTTAAGATGATTCTTAAATTCAATTGGAATAAACTCAAGGTCATATTTTGGTTCCTGTGGACTAGTTTTCATTTTCTTTAGCTTTAGTTTAAACTTACACATGAGTAATTAAAGGTATTTTCCACAAAAGACAACAGGTCTGGTTTTGACTTTAGATATTGTGTGCTTCTCCAATGATTCTTTGTACAAATTTAGTCAATCTGTAAAATCCATCAGGTGAACTCCATGTGTAAGGTCAGTCACCATCTGTGTTTTTTCCAAAAAAGTATTTGCTAGGATAAATTACTGAGTGCGCACAGTCCAATCATTCAAAGTTAGTCTCATGTCTGTCACCAGACCATACTTTCTGACTATTATTTCTTCCTCACTGTTTCCAACTGTTGTGTTTCAATACCAAAAATTATTAATGTATTTCAATTTTATGTTTGGTCAATTTTGAACTGCAAAAATTGGTAGAAACTCTCAATTTCCTCTTTGGTTTTAGTTGTTGGTGAATGACAGTGTTATTAATAGGTCTTCCTAGTATGCGTATAGATTTTATCCTATTATTCACAGCATTGTACTTCAGGATAGATCTTGAAATTACTTTTTTAACAATAAAAGCAAAACCATTTTTCCTCAGTTTTTCATTCCCAGCATAATAGATCATGTGATTGTGTGATTCAAAGTGGCCCATGCTTGTTCATCTCAGTTCACTATTGCCTAGAATGTCAATCTTCATGTAGTCTATTTCATTTTTTACAACTTCCATTTTTCCTACCTTTATACTTCATTCATTCAATATTCCAATTATTAATGGCTGTTTGCAACTGTTTATATTCACTTTTGAGTGACTTCCCATCTGGGCTCTACATCTAATACTATAACTACCCATGTTTCTCTATCCAAAATGCTAAAGAGCTGTGTTATCAGTTTGAAGACTAAGGTGCCCCTGATTCAGGCCATGGTCTTTTCCTCCTCACCTGCTATGAATCAAAGACCTGAACAATGAACAAGGGTGACAGAATAATTGGTGCCTTTGAGTTATAGTGCTGGAGAAAAGTACTGAACATGCCATGTACAACCAAAAGAACAAACAGATATGCTTGTAAAAAGTGAAACCATGATGACTCTTAGAGGCAAAAATAGTAAAGCTTCATCTTTCATACTTTGGACATGTAAGCAAGTCTAGTCTTGGAAAGGGACAGTACACTTGGAAAAAACAGAGGGTCGCTAAAAGAAAAAAAGAACCCACCCACTTCAATGAGATGAATTGACATGGTGACTTCAGCTGTGGTTTCTAATGAAGCAGAGGTGATGAGGATAGGGCAGGTTGGTTGTTCATAGAGTCACTATGACTTGTACTCAACTCAACGGCACCTAACAACAACTGTACTACTTCTTCATCTTCCAATGGGAGATGCTTATTCTTTCTTGCACTCATTATATAGCTCCAAAAAGCATCCAAGTTGACTATCAATCAGCAAAGAAAGAAGTTGGTAACACAGCCTGGACAGGAAAAAAAATAAAGAGTCCTTGTCCTTATCTAAGACCCTCTACTTGAGTACACTTCAAACATGTAAAGCATTTAAACACCATGTTGGTATTGTTATTGTTAAGTATCACCAAGTATGACCTTATGAACAACAGATCTGAACCCTGCGCTATCCTGTACCATCCTTATAATTTCCAGTATACTTGGTCCCATTGCTAAGTCAATGTGTCAAGAGTTGAGGGTCTTCCTCTCTTTCACTGACCCTCCACCTGTTACTGAATGCAAAGGGATTCTTTCCACAGTCAATTGCCAATAAGACAGGTGGACTGCAAATATCCATAGCACTTTATTGAAGATCTGGAAAGACAGTGAGATTTCCCTCAAAAACTGCCTACCCATCTGGGAGTGATCATTAGTTTTTATACTTGGGTTAGATACTAATTTACTTAACAATACACTTTTGTTAATAAAGTTACAAATTTTCTACCAAAAAAACCCCAGTTTATTAGTAAACAGACAACTTAAAAATTAGTTAACCTATGACTGAGGAACAACAGTTTTTAAAAGGTAAATGCTAAACCAGAAAAGATGCATTTCCCTTCCTGGTAAACAGGCACTTACAGCACTATTTACATATGACTAAGAAAAACCGTTTTAAAGAGTTAAATGCTAATCTAGAAAAGATTCATTTTCTCTCCTGGTAAAAAGGCAGTTTAAAGTAGTTTACATGAATGTTTATAGTTGTAGAGGGGCTTCAAGCCTTTTGTTCATAGGGTCACTATGAGCAGGGCTCAACTCGAAGGCAATCAACATCAATACAACAACAATGTGACTAAAGGAAAAAAATTCTAATGCAAAGTAACTAGTTATGAAGGCTGAAGAAAACTGATGTCAATTTTATTACTATAGTGATGTCTGGATAACTCTGAACTTATTAATAGCACCCCATCACACCTTTTCAAGCATTATGTTCTTTTCCAAGGACTGGCCTCTCAAAACATGTCCAAAGCATATGAGATGAAGCTTCACCATTCTTGTCTCTAAAGAGTACTGTCTGTACCTTCTCCAAGACATATGTGTTCAGTCTTTTGACCATCTATGGAATATTTAGTACTCATCTCCAACACCACAAAAGAAAGGCATCATTCCTTCTTCTGTTATGCTTATTCAATTGTCCAGCTCTCTGATGCACAGCAAGTGACTGAAAACACCATTGCTCGAATCAAAGGTACTTAGTTTCTAAGCTGGCATCATTGTTCCTCAATACTTTGGAGAGGTCTTCCTCAGTGTGATAAATCTTTTGATTTCTTGACTGCTGATAGCAGTGGTTTTGAATGTGGATCCAAGTAAGATGAAATCAAACACCATACTTGTTCCTGATAGTGTCAAGGGATTCAGTATAATATGGACACTTGTCTTCAAGATATGCCAATGCTAATGTAAGAACAAATAATGAAACAGTTACCATCAAGTCCTCTCCAGCTTTGGTGATCCTTGGTTATGTCAGAGGAGAACTGTAGAAGCAGATAGTTTTTCCAAGGAGTGCACAAGTTGATGGACTTATCTCTGATCTTTCAATTAGCACCTAAAGGAATTTGTTAACTACTGACTCCACCCTTGAACTTTACGCAAATAATGCAAAGCACAGGAGAAAAGCAAAGGAGCTAAGAAAAGAGGGAGGAATAACAAAGGAGATAGGAAGGCAGGGGGGCATGAGAGGAAATGCTAACTATGCATTTGATTAAAAACTACTAAGCTTTTTGGTGAAATCTGGTAGCTTCAGAACTGGACAGGGCAAACTTGTATTTTCAGGTCTCACAATTTTCCACCTTTGATAGAGTAAAACTTAACCCATTTTATAACCCATTGCAGCAGAAAATGTTTGAGTTTTCCTTTTCCAGTAGGTTTCTACCTTCCACAGCAGGTTCCATCTTTCACATAAGGCCTTTCTTTGATAAAGTGAAGCCTGCTCTCTCCATATTAAGCAGAGGAAACAGGACTTAAGATGGTGGGGACCATAACATTCTCTAGAAAAAAAACTGAAGAACTTTTCCTCATCCCATCAAAAAAGGAATATGGATGTTGAAACCTTTAGCTTTGGAAACAAAAGGCAACCTTAGTCCTTGTAATTTATCCATCAAATTCTTCCAACAGACTTCTTTCTCTCTGTCAATTGCAGGAGGAAATAAGCTAGTGAACAAACCTTTCCATCTACACTGGGCTTGGATTTCTCTGGAGAAAGAGTATTACATTGTGGATGAAGACTCCACGTTTTTGGACGTGACTCTCACACGCAGAGGACATCTTGAAGAAATATCCTTTATCAGTAAGGAATTTTGGATTTGTTCTTGGCAGGAGGGAATGAGGGAGGGAGGAAACAACATGTAGGCTTAAAAGTAAAATTGAGATAATAGATAATCATTTACTGTTCTAAGGACATTCTTATAAAGGTATGTGTGAAATTGTGCTATGGTTTGGACTCCAGGGAGTTATTATAGGCTTATATGTGCATCAAATTTTTATCCCCTTTTCGTATTTTTCTCTTTCTGGAATATTTCTTTCTTTTTTAAAAAATTACAATCTAAAGGAATTCAGGAGAATTAAGGCATTCTGTGCCCATATTCCGTAATCCCCAATTCTCTCTATTTCTGCCCAAATAGTTGGGGTTGTTATTTGAGTTGTTTTTGTGGTTGTTTTTGTTGTTGTTGTTGTTGTTTTATGTAAGTATATAACACTAGAGAAGAGTCTTGAACATGGCATGTACTGCCAAGAGAACAAATAGGTCTGTCTTGAAGAGGGTGAAACCAAGTTTCTCCTTGGATGGTAGGATTTTGAGACTCTGTCTCACATACTTTGAGCATGTGGCCAGGAGAGAGAGACTCTTGGACAAGGACATCATGCTGGGAAGGGTGGAAGGACGTACAGGAGAGGAAGACCCCAGATAAGATGGATTGATGCAGTGACTAGGGCAATGGGGGTTGGAGTGTCGGAGTCAGAGAGACTGGCTCAGGAGAGGGTCGGCTTCAGAGTTATTGTACATAGGGTCACTATGAGTTGCAGTGGCACATAACAACAACAACAATTCATTGTTATATTAGTTTTATTTCTTTTAAAAAATTCTTTACAAGTGAATGATGCATTGTTATGTATTTAATCTAGTTATTTCTTTTGGTTACATGTAATTGTTTTATCACTGTTATTAGGTTATAAAGTCCTTGAGGATATGTACAATGTCAAGTTTGTATACGTTCTACAAGGACTCAGTAGAGAATTATGCCTCCCTTGGGTAAACAGAGAAGTAATGCCTACATAATGTATCTCATTACCATCATTAATAATCAACAATGATTACTCTAATAAGGCATTACATTCATGAAACATCTTTTAGCTGTCAAAACATTCAGAACAATTTTGCACTGATTTTTACAACCAACCAAGAAGACCAAAACACCAAACCCACTACCATCAAGTCTGTTTTGACTCATGTCTCCCCTCTACTATTTTTTTATTGTTGTTTTTATACTGGTTTGCATATAAAATTTGTATACATCATATTCATATATTGTATATATACACTGTGTTTCACACATTCCTTCATTCACATTTCCATGCATTGTGTTTTATAAAATTAATCACCTTTGATCTGTGCCCACTATTGCACAGTCTTTTTAGGTTCCCCTGGATCTTTCATAATTCTTTTACACTCCCTCCTTCTGTCCACCACACTCTGTGACCCTGTGATTTCTCCCCCTCCTTTCCACTCTGGATTTTTGTACACATCTTACTTGTTATCCTTCTATTTTAACAATAATAATCTTATGCACTATTTGTCCTTAGGAGACTGTTTGTTCACTCAGCATAATGTTCTCCCTTTTCCCTTATGACACACAGCATTTTTTCAAAATCATTGCTTCTGAGTGCGGTATAGTATTTCACCACATGAATATACCAAAATTTTTCAATCCAGTTTTTTTTTTTATGAACACATGGGTTATTTTCATTTTCTTGCTGTTGTGCCATGAACATCAGTGTACAAATTTCTATTCCTGCCTCCATTCAATTTTCCTAAGATATACTCCTAGCAATGAAATCACTGGGTCGTATGGTTTTTTTCTGTGTTCAGCTTTATGAGGAAATGCTAAACTGCATTCCAGAGTGGTTGTACTATTTTATAATCTCACCATATCCTCTCCAACATTTATTACTTGCTGTCCTTTTAAACTTTGCCACTACTACATGGTTGAGTTGGTATCTCATTGTGGCTTTGATTTGCATGTCTCTTATTGCCAGTGATTTTGAGCATTTCTTTATGTGTCTGTTGGCTATCTGAATGTCTTCCTCTGTGAAAACTCTTTCCATATTCCCATTTGGTAACTGGGTTCTCAGGCTTTTTCTTGTGGAGACTCTATAGTATTCTGTAAACTTTCATTATGAGAAGCTGTATATTTGTCTTTACTGGGGGGAAAACTGCTTTGAGCAACCCTGATGAGGTAGTGCATTATGTCCTGGGATGTTAGCCAAACACTAAGTAGTTGGATAGCACCGATTGCTCTATGAAAAAAAGATGGACAGTCTCTTCCTATAATGATTTACAGTCTTGGCAACTCTTTGAGGATAAGAATCAACTCATTAACAATGTTGTTGTTGTTTGTTCTTCTAAGCTGTCAAATTGCCTGCAACTCATAGTGATCCTATGTGTTCAATAGCAACAGGTTTAGGTTTTTTTACCTTTTTACCAAGAAGACAGAGAGGGGTGTGTATCTTTCTGTAAATGAGCATTCTAAATTTCTCAGACACTGGGGGCCCCCCTCAGAGTCTTGAAGACATGCCAAAACTGTTGGAGAGAATTCAAGAATGGAAATGGACTGGGAAGAGAAAATAAAAAGGGCAGGCTTACTGCCCAGTCTCCTCTCTAGACTCTGGGCTTTTCCAGCACCATACAGGATTGCTCTCCTTGGATTAGAGATCAGCCAAAGAACACCCTGAGGTCTGATGGGAACCTCAGCCTCGGTCTTCATTCCAGGTCGCTCTACCAACACACCATGAAATCTAATGTTCAGTGCTTGCTTTGGCAGCACATATGCTAAAAATAACTGAATAAACCTAATGTCCAGAAACTTCAGCTTTCTTCCCCCGCTTCTACAATTCTTTACCCTATTCTTGTGGGCACAATATTTACGTTATTGTGTCAAGTCCTACATTGGATCAGGAAATGTATTTTCCCTGAACAATTTGAAGGTGTGTTGACTAGCTTAACCTCTGAAGATCTTCTTCCTCAACATCCCCTCCACCACACTCTCCCTTGCTCTACTTTATATGCCTCGTAGTGCTTAGCATCCTCTGAGAAACATCACAGATCTGCTTCTCTACTGTCTTCCCATAAATTTCTAGCTCCTTAAGGGAAAGAACAATATTTTTATCTATTCCCACTCCTGAGACTCACCAAACAAATATTGGTTGTTTTGAGAACTACAGTTAGCCTTTCTGATTTATAAAGCACCACTTAAAAATATATCAAAATCAAGAGACCAGAATAAGAGTTGCATCTTAAAGTGGTCTGAAAGAACTTGTTTTCCAAAGAAAAAAGCAAACTGGCAGAGAGGGAAACAAGGAGGAAAATATGCAACAATGAATGAATGGAAATCCAAGTTCTTTATAAACTTTCATTAAAATCTAAAAAAAAAAAAGTCAAAACCATGAAGTGTATCAGTAAAACATCTTATTTATGCTCAATAAAGCCTTCCTATGTCCTCATCCCATCTCAGCACGTAATCTAGAAGAAAAACCACAACTACCATGGGGTTTCAATTCTTGCGATGCTCCTTACTTATTTTTGTAGCATTCAAAAGAGCGTCAGGCTCCTTACCTGTAAAGTATCCATCCATCTCAAGATTTACTTGTGGCTTAAACATAATAATGGTAATTGATGCCTTTGAGCTGTGGTGCTGGAGAAGAGTATTGAGAATACCATGGACTGCTAGGAAAACAAACAGATTTGTCCTGGAGAGGGTTAAACTGGGTGGCTCCTTGGAGGCAAGGATTCTGAGGCTCCGTCTAACTTACTTTGGACATGTTGCGAGGAGAGACCGGTCCTTAGAGAGGGACATCATGCTTGGGAGGGTGGAGGGACGGCGCAGGAGAGGAAGGCCCTCTATGAGGTGGATTGATTCAGTGACTGGAATAATTGGGATGGGAGTGTCAGAGACAGTGCGATTGGCACAGGACAGAGAGGAGTTTAGGGCTGTTGTACATAGGGTCGCTATGAGTCGCAGGCTACTCGACGGCACATAACAACAACAACATAGTCCACTGGACATTGTAATGCTCAGTCAGTGTTAGTTATCATTATTACTCATCTGTACTCAAGAAAACAAGCCCACTACCCTTGAGCCGTTTCTGACTCATGATGACCCTCCATCTGGTTCCCTAGGCAACAGATCTTAATGAGAAAAGACGGCATCCTCTGCCTCCCAAGGAGCAGAAGGTGAGTTTGAACTGCCAGTATTTTGCTGAACAGCCCAGTACTTAACTTATTACACCACTATTACACCTAGAATTCATGAAATGGAATTAAAATCACAGAATAGCATCAATTATGTCCTCAGAGCATAGCACAGAGCTGATGCTCAACAAATATGATGTAAATAGCTACGTGACAGCTCAGATCATATGGCAACACAATTTGGCTCTTTTTAAATTATGGCTTAGGATACCATTTGCTCTTTATAGTTTCCACTTCAAACGTGTGTGTAAAAAAAAAACCCCACCAAACAAAAACACTGTTAATGATCTGACACATTCTCATAATGACGCTCGAGGACAGAGAGAGAGTAGGAATGCCACAGTGTTCCAAGGCTGTCCTGTTCAGAAGAGACTCTGAAGATTGCACTGGAGC